ATATATATATATATTGGCTTAGAAGGATATTTTGCCTGTCGCCATTTGGCTTATTGTACTATGATAGCAATTACGGTTGCCTTCAATCTCAACTGTCTTGCAAGTTAAAACTCAGATGGTCTAAATTTAATATAATTTAAGCTTATTAGACTCCAATTATTTTTTTTAAACTATATTTATTAGAAGGTGTAAGAAATTGCATCATCCCAAAGATTTAATATTAAATTTATTTGATGCGGTATCACTTTCTATTTTTTATTTTTTATTTATATATTTTTTGAAGCATTTAGCCGGTTTGGATGAAAAGATTTTTGAATAAAATCTGACATTTTTTAATTGGATTTGATTAAATGAAAATTAGAACGAAAAAAAAAATAAAAAAAATAAAATTTTAAATATTTTCTAAAAATTTGTAAGCTTATTAAAGTCCTTCATTGGGAGAAAATATTACGGGTGTAATCGGTATGTAATGATCAGGAGGGTATACCCGTGTATATTCTAAGTACATCACAAGTATATTTTATTTCCTTTTCTTAATTACAATCAGAAATTCAGACTTATAAAACAAAAAGCAAAATAAAATTTCTCAAAAATTAAAACCACATAACTTATTTTCCCTCTTTCTAAATTCTTTCTAATAAAAAATAGATAACAAATCAGCTGCACCAAATCAGTGACAGACATAATAATAATAATAATAATTTAATAACTATCAGATATGAGAGATCTTAGGCATACCTCCGGACAATATTATTGAGGTGTTATTGACTCAATATCATGAAACATTATTCCTTACGGACACTGTACGTAGAGAAGTATACGGTGCCCGTTCTCCACCGTCCATCATAGCTAATTTTTTTTTAAACAAAAAAATTTAAAATAAGGTCCACCGCCATATATCTTTGTTGTGATCGATGGTGGAGATCGGGCACCGTATGCATCTTTGCATACAGTGTCCGTAATATCACCTCAATATCACCAATAACACGCAAATACCACCAATTAATCCGAACATATATTCCCTGATATATAGTCTAAAACTCTAAAATAAATTTATAAAAATCTTCTAAATAAGCTTAGAGACATTCAGCTGCTGGTATCCACTGGTTCCCCTGAATAAAATTGTCCACCGAATACACGCCAACATGCTCCGCCGGAATCTGGTTGCTCCACCACACCCTCGCCGTGACATTACCCCCCGGCCCCCTGCTCCCAAACTCCCCATAGAACAGAGTCTCCAGCGCAAAATCCTCCGACCACTCTAACCACCCTTCCGGCCTCAAAAACTCCTCCATGTAACACCCAATGAACACCGTCCTCGAATACTCCTTCCATGGCCGGCCAAGATACACCCTGTGCAGCGAAGGATTGCTCCTGTACAGATTCCAGTACTCTTCTGAAGCGTTCAATCGACAGTTGTGGAAGACGAAGCCGGTGGGTTGGGCCGGGTCGGTTCGGCCTTGGGCGGTGATGGTGTCGGACTCACCCTTCATCGGATTGAATTGGCGGGTCACGATGACGATGAGACAGTCGTCGAATACGGCGGCGGAGTTGCCGAAGATGAAGTCGACGGTGCCGGAGATTAGGCATGATTTGTAGTACTGGCGGAGGGAATGGGAGTAGAGGGTGTCTTGATGGCCGGAGAATTCTACGGTGTCGAGGATGGTGAAGTCAGCATCTGATCGAAAGGCAACGGCCTGATGGGCAGCCGGTCCGGCCGTGTTTTGGAATGTGAGGTCACGGGCCATGAAGCCATCGCCGGCCACCGCTGCAAGGCACAATAGAACAGAAGCCGTTCAGATGGAACCTTTTTATTTACATGCATACCACTCAATTCTATGTATTTACATCTAAGATAATAAATTGATTAATTGCCCTAAATACAATGAAAGTTTTCTTACTTTAAACAAGTGCATCCAATTTAATGCCCTTAAATAAAGAAACATATATATATATATATATATATATATAAATTTCCAT